TTGGGGTTTAGGATTTAGGGTTGTGGGGCTTTACGGGTTTAGGGTTTCGGGTTCTGGGGTACAGGGTTTAGGGTTGTGGAGTATAGGGCCTAGGGTTTTGGGGCACAGGGTTTAGGGTGTTGGGAGATTGGGCGTAGTTTTGGGGAACGGCAGGGTTTAGGGTTTAGGACAGGGTTTAGGTCTGGATAGGGTTCGTGGAGAGGAGCAGGAGGAACGGAGGAAGCGAGCTGTAGCAAGAACCAGGAAACGGAGCACGGGGAATTGAAATCTGGCAAAAACTCTGAACACTCAACCATGCACCCTGAAACCATAAACCCTGAAACCCTCCACAGATCGTCTACTGTAGAAGCCTTAGTAGTTAGATTAAGGTTTTGGGATATATGATGTTACAAGTATAATACAGAAATCCCCCCCCCCCCAAAGCCGTTTAGGTAATTATTTCCCTGAGCCCTAAACCCTAAGTACCCCCCAAATAGTTGAGGTAGTTCTTTCCGGTCCCTAAACCCTAAACCCCTGAACCCTAAACCCCTAGACCCTAAACCCGAAGCCCGAGGCTCTAAGCCCTAAGTGCACGGGTGGCACCTGCCTCGAAGGCGCTTTGGTCACCCGACGAGGCCGCTGCTGGCCACGGGGCCAACAAGGACTTGCAGCTCAAGCCTCTTCTAGGGTTTAGGGTTTAGGGCTTAGGGCTTAGGGCTTAGGGCTTGGGGTTTAGGGTTTGGTTTTGGGGCTTAGGGTTTAGGGTTTAGGGCTTAGGGCTTGGGGCTTAGGGTTTAGGGATTAGGGCATGTAGGGGCCTTAACAGTTAGAATAGGGCTGCTTTTAAGGGTTCCCTATAAGGGTTACTATGGATACTATAAGAGATCAGTACAGGGCCTTAATGATAAATTAGATGAAGTTTTGGGGATATGATAAAATATACTATAGTTCCAATAAGGAACCCTAAGGAACAATATTGGCAATTGTCCACTTGGAGGATCATGGGACTTAGTAAGGTTATAACTACCTTAATTGGGGTTATAATTGCTTACAACTACAGTTACCTTATTTACAACCCTAGTTACTAAGTCCCATGATCCTCCAAGTAGGCTTCTATATTAGCCGTGGGTGCCTGAGGATTAGATGGGTAGTTCTGAAAGTTAGGATCCCTTGTCAGGTCCCGAATCTACTACGGCACCCTTCTAAAAAGGACCCTAAAACGGATCCTAACTTACAGAACAACCCAAATCTGAAATACCCCGAAGACGCCCATGGGAACGCGCCTGAAGAGACTGGGAAGGATCGTAGGGTTTAGAGAACTTTGGGCTTACGGTTCCCATAAGACGTAAGGTTTAGGGTTTGTTGGTGTGGGCTGGGCAATCTTCAGCGGGGTTCAAGCTTAAGTCGTCCGGGCTGCTTGGAGGAAAATCCTTCTCACACAGGGTTTAGGGGTTTAGGGGTTTGGGGTTCGCTTGTATATAGGGGTACCTGAGCAGTCAGGAAACCTTGTGCATTAACCCAAATCTTCTTCGGCTGGCAGTTTTGGAGGCTTGTGCATTTCGGAGACACGAAGGCACGCAAAGGTGATGTGCGATTTACTGCTTTTCGGGTCTTGGCTTTCAGGATGTCTTTCAGGATGTGAGATTTCCATCTGCACTTCTGCAGTTGCATCTACACTTCCCTGCCTTTGCTGCAGCGGAGCTTAACCACGCAGTTGTAGGCACCTCAGTTTGTGCGCATGAGCTCATTCGCCACAACTTGTCGCTGGGTCCTTTTGACGAAGCAAAAGTACGACAGTATTATAGTACTTTTGGCGTTAGCAGCAAACAGACTAAGAAGAGTTGCACTAGTAAAGATCACGGTCAAACGATGCCATGGCACTGCCTTGCATCTTCCTCATCCAATGCTGCAGATGCTGGGCCATGTTCTGGCCCGCTCCAGATCTAAGGCTTGGCATATGCAACACCTTGGCTGGCGGTGCAAGGGCTTAGGGTCTTTTGGGGCTTTAAGGGGTCCGGTCTAGCATTATGGGGCCTAGGGTTAAGAAGTTGAAAAGTTCGGGTTCAGGGTCTGGGGCTATAGGGTTTAAAACTCAATTTAGGGTGTAGGGCTTCACCTTGAGCATCAATCAATGTTTCAGTGTTTAGGCCAGGCGCATCTCCACCCGTTCGCCAGGGCAGCCAGTGGAGTTTCGTGGCATCGCAGCCGTCGCGGGCAACCGTCACTGCACTGACAGCCACACCTGGCTTTTGAGGAACGATCAGTTATTCCCTATACACCCTACAAACCCTAAACCCTAATTCCCTAAACCCTCTTCTACTAGCTCGGATCGGCGGAGCTGGTGATCAAGGGGCTGCCCGGATGTACGTATCTCTCGTGAGGAGGCCGATTTGGTTGATGATCTAATGTAGGGGCCTGAATAATTAGAAAAGGGTTTTGGGATATTTTTCTATAATCCTAATCAGGGGCCCCCCCAAAATAGTATTGGTAATCATTTAAGCCCTTACGGTACCCCCGTACTTTCTGATTTCTGAAAGAACTCCCGGGCCGATCTTTGCAAACGCAGCCGGCCTGTCCGACAGCAAGTGCGATGCATCTGCTCCAGGAAACTGCGCTTCTTCTTCCTTACCCAGAGAGCCCAAAACAGCTTAATTAAGGAATATTCCTTGAATTATAGGGCCATTATTATTATGATTTAAGGCATATTCCTTAATTAAGGGGTATTGGGTTCTCTGGGTACCCAAGATGCACGAAACGGGAATCATGGAGGGAAAACTGGGGTACCTCCTCTGGGAGGTCCTTACTACAATAATGACCTTCGTCATTGGGGTTCTCCATTATAGTGTCCTCCATTCCGAAAGCTCCCATAATGCAAGCAAGGCTAGCTACATGTCCCTATAGGGTCTTATGTTCGATAATCCCCATCTCATGACAAATCTGAAACCCCTGTCTCTCAAAGTCTTTTCATCTCTACTTATATACGTATTTACTAATTCATGCGGCAAAACCCCCAAAAAACCCTAGACTCTAGACCCCAAGCCCTCAGCCCTCTACACCCTAGAATCCTTACCAGTCACTTTTGAAGGACACTACAGGTGGGGAGTTGAGGGTATATAGGGCCTCTATAAGGCTTCCATAAGGTATATAGACCTTCTATTAGGCTCCTATAACGGTAACTACCCACCTGAAAATGTCCCAGTCTCTTCAGGGGCGTTCCCATGGGCGTCTTCGGAGTCTTCGGCGTCTTGGGCGTCTTCGGTGAGAGCGGGTCGTCGTTTTCGGCCGAGGAGTCGCTCTCACCGACCCAGCTCTCAGCCACCGTGGCCTCCGCGTTAAAGGAAACTACAGGTGCGGAGTTTCGGGTATATAGGGCTTCTATAAGGCTTCTATAAGGTATATAGACCTTTTATAAGGCTCCTATAACGGTAACTACCCACCTGAAAATGTCCGAGACCGCGGAAAGGCTTCGGAGTTCAGTGGCTAAGGGTTCGGACTTAGGGTCTAATATAAGGGCCTGAATAATAATGAGAATAGGGTTTTGGGGAAAATACACTATAATTATAATAAGAAGCCTCCAAAATTGTATTGGTAATTTTTAGGCTCCTATATTAGGGTTTAGGGTTTAGGGTTTTGTGGAATCGTTCGAAAAAATTGGAGTTTGGGGTCTCTTAGGTTTTCATAGGCTCATGAAGGGTTTGCTTGTGGGTTTTACAGGGTATTATGCGGATGTATGTGGTTCTACAAAGATTCTATCTGCAGAGCGCAGCTTCTAAGATAATGGCTACTATGAGGGGCTATGGGGATTACTCCAAGGGTTAGTATAAAGATTGGCTAGACGAGCTACAAAAAATATTGCTATGATGGTTCCTGCAATGAAGGTCCTAAATACCCTAAACCCTAAACCCTGAACCTCCAGTTCACTGGGAAATGTAGCACAATGAAGGCTACTATGAATATACATATTGAGAGAACTTGCAAGGCTTGGGGATTAGGTGCAGTACCGGCATTACAGCTGCAGGTTGCTCATGTTGCCTCTTAACATACAGAACCGGCACCAAGCAATCTCTTATAAACCCTAAACCCTAAATCCCTAAACCCCTAAACCCTAAACCCTAAACCCTAAACCCTAAACCCCTAAAGCCCAAACCCCTAAAGCCCCTAAACAAAAGCCCTGAACATCTTCCCCTCATCGCATGGCCTGGAAGAGTACAACATCGCCTCCGCCCATGGCCGTAAGAGCTTGGACGCTTGTTCGCAAAACCTCGGCTAATGACTTCGACCAGACTTTTCGGGTTTAGGGTTTACGGTTCTTCCACGAGCGTTGCAGTCGCGGTGCAAACAAACTTGGGTGGTTTAGGGTTTAGGGTTTAGGGTTTAGGGTTTAGGGTAAGTTCAGGGTGTAGGGTTTAGGGGTTGGGGGCAAGAGAGAGCTGACCCATGGCCAAGCCCAGCTGCTACACGGTGACATCGTCTATCTCCAAGAAACACCGCCTGTACACCCAACCCCTACAAACTAGTAGGTCATGACTCTTATCCAAGGTTAGAAGTATGGGCCCCTAATATGGGCCCTTAGGGGGGTTCTAGGGACCCTTAAGGGTACATTATAGGGTATGTGGTAGCTGTATAAGGATCTTAGGGTTAAGGGCCCATACTAGGGGCCCATGGTTTCAACCTTAGATAGGTCATGACTCTTATGACCCGTTATTTATGTGATGCACGCCTTCGAGCAGGAGGTAATTGGCATCACAGGCAAGTTATCGTCCTAAACCCTAAACCCTAAACCCTAAACCCTAAACCCTGAACCCTAAACCCTAAACCCTAAACCCCTAAACCCCTAAACCCTAAACCCTAAACCCTAAACCGTGAGGCCTCGCAGTGCTGAACATTTCACCAAGGTGCGGCGGTGCTCGCTACATCCTGCGACAAGGCACTGATGCTGTGAAGCAGGTTCGGATTAAGAGCTTGGGTTTAGGGTCTCCGGCATAGAGTTATCATTTGCCAAGACACATGGGTAGTTGTCAAAATTATGGTCCCTTTGGGGGTCCCCTAAATAATAGGTGCCGTATTATAATAAGGACCCAAAAAGGGACCATAATTTGGACAACCACCCACATGACAGGACTCCCCTAAACCCTAAACCCAGGCAGTCCTGTGTCTCTTCCTGTAGATGGAAAGGGTCTTGGTCCTCGATTGGCAACGGAACTTAGACGCAAGACGCAGAAACAGATGTGTCTGTCTGCTCAGTGATTTGAATATTCACTGAAAGGACAAGCAGGAACTGCGCGGATAGCAGTGGCTCCTTTTCCCTACACCCTAAACCCTAAAACCCTAAAGCCCTAAATGGGAAGATGGCAGTGGCTCCTTTTCCCTACAACCTAATCCCTTAAACCCTAAAGCCCTAAAGTTCTGAAAGTTTTCCATCTCAAAACCTTCTGCCTGCCCCAACTTCTCCTGAAGAGATGAGCTACATGCCAACTTAGTTGATATAGGAGCCTTAATAATTAGAATAGGTTTTGGGGGGATATTACACGATTATTAGAATAAGGAGCCCCCCACAATAGTGTTGGTAATTATTTAGGCCCCTGCATTCGTCCTTACATGCCTTAATAGAGGCCTAAACTCTTGGAACTTTGAATTGCTAACACTGGGTCGTTAATCCTAGACCCCACACACTACAGCAAAATGTTGCAACCCCCTGCAGTAAACTCCCGAATCCCTGTCGGACCCTGCAACATGTCAGAGGAGCCTTGCCAAAGGGCGACACAGGCTCCTGCTGCCTTGTGGCCTGGCGCAGCTTTCCCGCCAAGAAATGGGAAAACAGTACCGTTTTGGGACTGTGCGAATCTAGGGTTTAGGCTTTAGAATACTTCTCTAAGTTGTGGGGTCCCTGTGAAAGGGTCCCCAAATGCGTACGTCATGTCCCAGCGTGGGACATGCAAGGAACAATATCACGTGAATACTTCTTGCACGAAACAGCTTGGGGATCACGTTGAGGCTCCTCCTCCAGGCTTCCCAACACAGGTCTCAAACTTAGATTCCTAGTCATCGCCAAGATTCTGGCACAAGCTGCGTCAGACAACTTAGGATTGTTTCCCCGTAACCCTCACCCCGGAAACACCTAACCCCTACGACCGGTTCCCACTGCGGATCCTGCGCATACTCTTTCTGCAGGGCGGCCAGCAGCTCGAGAAAAGGTGCCTTTTGCTCCGGGTCTTGCAGGTGAACCTGAGATCCATCTGTGGAACCGTCTCACAGGCTGCTAGCATATGGGTAGTTCTCTAAATTAGGGTCCCTCTTGGGGTCCTTTTATAAGGGTGCCGTATTATATTGGAGACCTAAAAAGGGACCCTAATTTAGAGAACTACCCATATTGAGAACGGCAATGTTAAACCCTAACCCCCAAACCCCTACAAAAGGCCCCTAAACCCTAAACCCTAAACCCTAAACCCTAAATCCTAACCCCAAACCCCTACAAAGGCACACGCGTCCGAGCTTTCTTCTCAGCAGAGACTGGCCTTATCCATCCCTGCTTGGAAAAGAGCGCAAATCGAGGAAGGAGCAGGGTCATCTTGGAAATCTATATTTGTGGGTTCTGCTATGGGCTCCTTTAAGGGTTCTTGTAAGGGTGCCTATGGAAGTTGAAAAACCCTAGACCCTAAAGGCCTCAGGGCTTGAAGGTCTACGAAACCTGTCCTTTTGAACGAGTTCTTATAGCGGCTCCTATGAGGGTTTCGGTCTCATAGGGTCTATTCCGCTTCCTGTACGGGGTTCTTCTGTGGGATCTACAAGCAGTTCGGGGCTCATACCTTGGGGCTCCGTAAGGTTTAGGATTTATGGAGCTTAGACGTAGAGTTTGGGTTTTAGGTTTTAAGATATATGGAGCTTAGAGGGTCTATAAGGCTTCGGGCCAAGGGTTTAAGGTTTCGGGCTTGGGGTTGAGGGCCTTCGTGGAAGGAAGGCTGCTGAGCACTTGGAACTCACTGAAACTCTTTCCTCAACCCAGGAGCCTCCAGTGACCCCTAAACTTGAAACTTAACCCTAAGAGTTTAGGGTTTTATATAAGGTTTAGGGTTTAGGGAGTTTTAGGGTTTTGGGGTCTAGGGTCTAGGGTTTAGGGAGGCTTAGGGTTTTAGGGCTTAGGGTTAAGGGTTTGGGGCGAGGCCTTAGCCTTGACCCTAAAGCCTAAGGACGCCTTTTCTTCCTGCCGTTGTTTTGTTGTTCGCAAAGTTCAATCCACTAGGAACCCCCCCAGAAGCACGTAAACAATAAGCAGTCATAAGTTATAGATATATTACCTGGCTCGACCCTAGCTACTAAGTCCCATGACCTTCCGATCAACAAAGGATACCCAAAAACCCCAACCCCTAATCCCCTCTATAAGTAAGCCCCTAAATCCCAAACCCTAAACCCTAAATCCTAAACCCTAAACTCTCAACCCTCAGCCCTAAATCTTAACTCCCAGTAATATAGAGGCCTTAAAAATTAGAACAGAGTTTTGGGGCCCATTATACCACACTTAAAACAAGGAGCCCCCAAAATAGGATGGGTAAGTCTTAAGGCCCCTACATTAAGCCCCTAAACCCCTAAACCTAAAACCCTAAACCCCCTAAAACCCTAAACCCCTAAAAAACTCTAAACCCTAATCCCTATAGTACCCTCTTAAGAAAGCCTGGGATCCCCATAGTACCTTTTAAAGGACCCCAAGGTACTTCTTAAGGCCCCTACATCCTAACTCCCAGCATGTTCGGGTTCTCCAAAGCTACCCTAAACCCTAAACCCTAAACCCTAAACCCCAAACCCCTGAACCCTAAACGCTAAACCCCTAAAGCCCTAAACCCTAAACCCT